TTTCTTTCTTGCAACCAGAAAGTATGCTCGTTTGGATATATGTACAAATTACTTATTTCTTAAATTTTGGCATGGTTTGATGGTGCATATAAATGCATATTTTGCCTGTTTTATGAATAAGCATCATATTTTCGAAGATCTCTATTTATAGTGCATATTTCCTTTTTAAAATGTTTATCATATATTTTTTAATTTTATGTTCAAATTTTCAATCATAGTTGTATCTACACAATTTTTCTTTTCCGTATTAGAATATGTTGCATATCTGACTCAACATTTCGTCATGACTCATGTTTCTGATGCAATACCCAGGACGGGACTTCCCCGATCCCTCTACCGTAACTTGCCTCATCCGCGTACCATCAAAGTGGCCCCGGTGGCCGCGAAGAGATTAGTCGGGAGCGTTCACATCTAGCCGCTATCAACGTAATACTATTCAAACGATAAGTGACTTCACTTACTTATTTCCGAAGTCTCCATGAGGTTCGTTACACTTCTTCATTTGAAGCTAGGGGCCATTCACATTAGTGGTGACTAGTCTGTAGTTAAGTTTGTTTAGCTTTCTGTAGTCATGCCGAAAGTGAAAGTAAGTCAGAAAACTAAATTACAGCTGTATCAACGGGAGTTCGAAGGAGAGATGATAAGTACGGATAACGAAATTCTTTATTGCCGAGCGTGTGAGAAAACAGTTGGTTGTGAAAAATGCTTTCAAGTGCTTCAGCATTTGAACACTAATATACACAAAGAGAATATCAAAATTAAATCCATGAAAAGTGCTCCTGTTCAAAAATTGCTTAGTGAATTTTCTAATAATAGTTTTTCACAGTTTTCCTTTGATTTATGCGAAGCCCTTTTAGCGGCAGATATTCCACTGTGAAAACTAACCAGTCCTACTCTGAGAAACTTCATAGAGAAGTATACACAGTGCAAAATGCCGGATAAATCTACTGTGCGCAAAAATTACGTGAAGCAGTGTTACGATCTTACAACTGAAAGCATTAGAGATAAGACTCAAGATAAATTTCTGTGGGTATCAATCGACGAAACACAAGATTGTGAGGGACGGTTTATTGCAAATTGTATAGTTGAATCCCTTAACAAGACTGAACAATCTACCCCATATCTTCTTGCGGTAGAGGAATCTGAAATCACAAATAGCTCCGTAGTTTCCGAACTTTTTATCAATTCCATGAATTTACTATGGCCGAATGGCATTCAGTATGAGCGCATATTGCTCTTTGTAACTGATACCGCAAGTTGTATGATGAAAGCCGGTACTGCTCTTAAAGTTATATTTCCAAATATGACACATTTGACATGCCTTGCCCATGNTCATAGAGAAGTATACACAGTGCAAAATGCCGGATAAATCTACTGTGCGCAAAAATTACGTGAAGCAGTGTTACGATCTTACAACTGAAAGCATTAGAGATAAGACTCAAGATAAATTTCTGTGGGTATCAATCGACGAAACACAAGATTGTGAGGGACGGTTTATTGCAAATTGTATAGTTGAATCCCTTAACAAGACTGAACAATCTACCCCATATCTTCTTGCGGTAGAGGAATCTGAAATCACAAATAGCTCCGTAGTTTCCGAACTTTTTATCAATTCCATGAATTTACTATGGCCGAATGGCATTCAGTATGAGCGCATATTGCTCTTTGTAACTGATACCGCAAGTTGTATGATGAAAGCCGGTACTGCTCTTAAAGTTATATTTCCAAATATGACACATTTGACATGCCTTGCCCATGAGTTGCACCGTGTTGCAGAAACAATTCGTGCAAATTTTCCGCTTGTTGGCAAGTTGGTGTCTTCTGTGAAGAAGGTATCTGTTAAAGCGCCATACAGAAAAGAAGCCTTGCAGCAGCACCGAGCGTTCCACTTCCGCCAGAACCACTGTGTGCAGCGAATTATTACACCGAACATTTAGAAACAGTCAGGAATGTCGTGAATACATTTGATCCCAAAAGTACAGCATCAATTCAAATTGCCCAAGATGTACTAAAAAACGCAGAACTAGAAACTAATCTTTCCTATATATCTGCTAACTTCTCTCATCTTCCATCCGCCATTTCCTCACCGGAGGCAAGCAATAGCAATACTATTGCTATTGTTAAGCAGTCGTTAAGTGTGTTCAAAACCACTGTTTCCAAATTGAATTCGGTTCCTGGAAGAGTTGGTGAAGTAGTGAAGGAAAAAGTACACAGCATTCTTTAAAAAATCCAGGACATGAACAAATTTGACATTGAAGAAATTTTAGCCGGTAAAAGTACTGAACTGCCAAGTAAAAAATCACTAACAGTGGAGCAAATAGCGGCTTTTGTACATGCGCCCCCAGGTTCCTGTGAGGTGGAAAGAAGTTTTTCCGCCTATAAGGACATCTTACAAGACAACAGGAGGCGACTAACTATGGAAAACCTAAAACATTTAGTAATTGTGAACTGCAACATAAAATAAGTTGAAAGTTTGAAGAGCTAAACGTGAGTACCATTGGTTTTTTAAATTTGTAATGAAATATGTTGACTTTGTCGCTTGATTTGTATTTAAGTATAGCTTTTTATTGCAAGTGAATCATTCCGTGATTACATAAAATGAACTTAAATATTGATTTGTTGGTCTTAAACTAATGTAAAATCAATTATAATATTTGGTATAAATGTTTATGTGCATACTTTAGTGCATATTTCGGAAGTTTTCCATGCATAAATGCATTCATATTTAAGGGATTATTAGGGCATAAAAATCCGGGCCCTAGTCATGACTCTGCAGGTAGCACTCCAGACTTGCATTTGGAAGGTGCTTGAACAGAACCTCGGTTGGGACACCCGCTACCCTGACTGATTTTTCCAGGTTTTTCCCCGGCCACTTCAGGCAAATGCCCAACAGTATCTCCATTATGCCACGCCCGCTTCCTTCCAAATCCTTTCCAGTGTACCAGTCATCCTACCATTCGACGCTATACAATCTACCTACTGGAAATGGTGTGGTGAAATACAAATCCATAACACTCCGTTATATGCATTTTGTCTTTGAATATAAAATTCGCTGACTGACCACGGACATTTCCGGTAGCTTTCAACCGTCCACGGCGCCGAACGTCGATGTTTTAAACCGTCAGATTGCACCTTCCGGTCAACTACAGATTAGAGTAAATGAACTAATTTACTGAATGATCTGCAATGACCATCTATAGGGTGAAAACAAGAAACCGGGTTTCGATTTCTGGCGGAATGAGGCGATTATTTTCTTGTCCATTGCGTCCAGACCGGTTCTGGAACCCATCCATTGGCTCCCGGGGGCGCCAAGGGTAAAGCGGCCGATGCTCTGAAGTTGGCCCCGCAACTCCATCTAGAACTGAGGAAACTACTGAGAGGATATACTGTGTCTAAAACATTTCTGAGGGCGCCTCATCATTGGACAGTAACGCGGATCGTTGCATCAGCATCAGAAAGTAACTACATTCTAAAAGTGGGTTCTTTCTTAACTTTGTTGGCCGGTTCACGGCTCTGCGCTTCACGGAGCTCAGTGCACAGCCGGCTGCGTGGCGCCTACGAATTATGCCGATCAATCAGTATGCCTGATGGCCGATAACATTACTTTATCCTTCTAATTATACTTGGAGAAGGATACAAGTTATGGAGCTCCTCATTATGCAGATTTCTCCAACTTCCTGCCACTTCATCACTCTTCGGTCCAAATATTCTCCTCAACACCCTGTTCTCAAATACCCTCAGTCTATGTTCCTCCTTAATGTCAGAGACCAAATTTCACACACATACAGAACCACAGGCAAAATTATAGTTTTGTATATTCTAATTTTTGCCGGTCACGGTAGCCGAGCGGTCTAAGGCATGCACTGTCTTCGCTCGCTCGGAAACCGAGATCGTGGGTTCGAATCCCACTCAGGGCATGGATGTTTGTGTGCGTTTTTCTGTGTTTGTCTACAGGTAGAGGCCTTGCGACGAGCTGATCACTCGCCCAAGGAGTCCTACCGTATGTGTAAGATCTAGTAAACCGAAGTGAAACGGTGAGTTTCATGGAGGTAGGGCTAGGCCCAAATTGGGGCTGTAGCGCCACAGGAAAAAAATATTCTAATTTTTATGTTTTTGGACATCAGACGAGAAGACAAAATGTTCTGGACTGAATGGTAGCAAGCATTACCCGAGTTCAATCTCCTCTTAATTTCCTCCTGAATTAGGTTTTGATTGAATACGGAGGATATTGTCTTCAAACATACGACAACTTCCTTTCACATCTTTCTCAACAGTCGTTCGATATTATCATCAGCGTCGACGAATAAACTGTAACTACATGCTTCTGAGTCCTTTTTCAGAAGCTACGAGTAGCTCAGGGCCGCGCCATAGCTTAAGCGGTTAGTCGCTGGCTTCCCAATGCGGCGGCCCGGGTTCGATCCCGGGTCTGGTCAAGTGGGATTTGTGGTGGACAAAGTGGCGCTGGGACAGATTTTCTCCGAGTACTTCGGTCTCCCCTGCCGATCTTCATTCCACCAATTGCTCCACAATCACCCTCACCTATCATCTGGGGCTGGTACAATAGGTCAGAAGTGGTCGCAGTACAAGGGACTTAGTCTCACCCCACCAGCATTAAAAAAATTACTAGTAGCTCATCGGGTCAAACTTTTTATGGTACACAGCTCATTATCGTGCTTGCAAAGACCCGCCACTGGTCCGCACCCGGAGTCACATGATCTAATTCACATCCCTACACCTGTGTCTTATTACTTTCCCACCTACGCCTGGGTTTCCGTTGTAGTCACTTCCCTACCGAGTGAAATTTCTGTATCCTGACTGTTGAATCAGGTCGAAGATTCGCATCAGCATTACGAATATACCAGTATGAATCAAAATGGTCTCAATTTATTCGCGAGTCTATGCCTGGCGGGGAAAGGGGGTGCGACCATGAGGTTTAACCAAAACTGATACGACTTGAGTACTCCTTATGTTTACTATTATATTGTTACGCACCAACTTACATATTCGAGTTGCAGCGTGAAGTCGAATTCGTTGCTTCAAGTCATTCTAATGAAAACACATTGAAACTAAGCTCACTTCTACAAAAATGCACGAAGCAAAACACACCACCACCTTATTCAAGCCATCTGACATCCAATACACACTACCACAACACAACACCAACTAGTAGCACCATTTCATCAAACTGGCCTAAAACCAACTAAAGTCGCAGTACGCTGCCAAATTTGCTCTAGGAAGCAATATATTGGTAGCACTGATTTTAGTTTAGAGAAATGTCGTTTATGACACTGCTGTGCCTTGCTTCTTCCGACTCGCTAAGTCATGTGACATTTCGGTTCCTCTCCTTCCGGTAAATGGTGGAAGTGCGTTGAATGTCTCACAGAATAAGAGAAAGATGTGCAGTTTAGTGGATTCTTTTATCGGATTTCAGTCTTTTGTAATGGCCATTAGAAAATCCATTCCGTAATGAAACTGATCAACAAAAACGTTGACAAAGATGGAGGAGGGTACGTGTAATAAGCGTTCGTTGCTCCTTATGGTTTGAAGTTAATGGTGGGAATTTTATAAACATGAAAATCGCATTTTCAGGCGTGTCACCCTTATGCCAGAAGAGTCGGAGGATATTTGGCATGCATACAACCTCATCAGTGAAGGGGATTGTGTTAGAGCCTCCACAATAAGGTTTGGTAGTCCAGATTTTATCGTGTAATGAAGTAACATTTTCGCATTCACTGTACGTTTCTTTAGGATAAATTAAGCACGTAGTACGGTGACATGAGGTATCATTGTATATAATGTTCTTTTATAATATTTAAATAATTTCTATGTTTGCCATTTAACATATCTGTATTGTGGAATATTACTGAAGTTACCATACCCTTCATAGCCGCAAACAAAGTTTGCATATTAAACATTTAGTTGTGTACTTAATTATATAATTAAGCACTGCGCCACAAAGGCCTTTGGGGGTGTGGAGGTATAGTTTCACCATTCCTGACCTCATCACTAGATGGAGGTGAGTGGTCAGCTTCACACCCCTGCCACTTGCCTTCGGAGATAGAGCCCCCAGTACCCATTGGATAGGAGTTTGGGTGGGACGCACAGCTGGTGTGGACTCTATGGAGAAGGGAAAGATCTGTGGCCAATAGCAGGAATTGAACCCTGGTCATTCAGCATGGAGGCTTCCACTTCATGCTGATTGTTTTACTTCCCTCTCAAGGGTATGCCAGGCAGCCCATTGCACTTTCTGATAGTGATTGTTACACTTCCAACATTTGTGTGACTGGAATGGCTAGATGACTGGAGGACAACACTGAGAAGTAATTGCAGGAGGAAGTATAATAGCTCAAGAAATGTGGAGAGGGTTGATCATGGTACTTCTTTCCACAGCCTTAGTAGTCATGTAAATTAATTTATTGCTCATTTTCAACTTACAGAAAAGTGCAAAACGAATCATCTACAGGTTCATCAACAAGTAACCGAATTCGTACAACATTGACAATTCGCATTGAAAATATTGACTTTGATACACAAGCATGTGTGCTTCGATTGAAGGGGCGAAACATAGCAGAAAATCAGTATGTCAAGGTAAATAGTTGGATGTACATAATGGGATATTGCTGGATCAGTTCTGTCATTTGCATGTATCTCGTACACAAAAATCATACTTTACGTTGTGTTTTAGATGGGGGCATACCACACCTTGGACCTGGAAGTGAATCGTAAATTTACACTAACTAAATCAGAATGGGATTCTGTTGCATTAGAGCGAGTAGATACAGCATGTGATCCTACACAGGTATGTAATATTACATTGATTAGGAAGTATTGTAACATTGTTACACTTGAATTAACTTGAAATAAAGGTCAAGTGATGATTTTACAGCATGCAGATGTTGCCGCAGTGGTGATGCAAGAAGGATTAGCTCATATATGTCTGATTACATCTAGCATGACTTTGGTACGAGCAAAAATTGATCAGTGCATTCCACGCAAAAGGAAAGGCAATGTACAGCAACATGAGAAGGTTAGTTAATGTTATGGTTTGTTCAGTTAGTAAACATATAATGTCATTCTGCAGTATTGTTCTAAATTTTCAGCTCAAATAAGGATATAAAATCAAGTGAACTCACTGCTTTACTAGCACAAGCTTTTATACATCATTTTATAGCCATTCATATCAAAGACAAAACATCTGCAGATGAAGTTAATAATGTAACTATATTTCTGTCATGCTTAATTTTTACTGTCAAACTGTATTTCTGTATTTGCTCAGTGACAGCATGTGAAGCTATTTGGTGAGACATAACTGGATATTCAAGCCCCTTATACATAGCAATTTGTTCCCTACTTTTAGAATTATATTGAGAGGACTGGGGGGGGGGCACTATGGCCCTAAGGGCGACTCATCCTCCAACAGAAATGAGTACCAGGAATATTCTTGGGGGTAAAGGGTGGCCGGCACATAGGGCTGACAACCTTACCGCCATCTTTGAGCCGATTGTCTATAAAATGTGAGAGCCTCAACATCTCACAGCCCTATGGGCCTGCACGGCCTGTTACAGGGATACCTTTACTTTACTTATTGAGAGGCCTGGCCTTTTCATTTTCTCATGGGTTTGTAACTTCATATTCAGCGTGAAGGAAAAGCAGTTGTGTGGGTTGGTGACTTAATGGAGTAATGTAGCAAAAATTATTTCTGTCATTAGATCCAATTACAATGTTACATCTCAGCACTTACATTTATTAGTTTAGCACTTCTTAATGACAGTTAATACAGATTTTGCATTGTTAGAAGGGTTTGGTTTACTTTAAACCAATGATCTCTTCGGGAATATACACCCTAGCTCATATCCAGTGTGGATGTGATGGGCACATCATCTTGGAGTATAAGCAGTTGTAATTGAGATTGACTTCTCATTTCAAAATAATGCAGAACCTCTTGTGTTACGTTTTATAACAGTTTCCCATATTCGTTAATGGCATGATATACAAGTTTGGGGATATCATTTTTTAAAGACAGAAGGTGCCTTTTATGTAAAGGGAAAGGTAAAGTCCCTGTGCTTAACTAATGAAGCACTACTCCATGAAGGAATATGGGGGAATGGATGTATAGATCCACATTTTCTTTAACTCAGCACTAGCTGGAGTTGAGCGGTCAGCTTCATGCCCTGGCTGCTTTACCCCTGGGGAAAGCTCCTGGTACCCATTGGATAGGTGGTTTGGTGGACCCCAGAGCTGGTCTGGATGACTTGGAGAAGAGAAAATTCTTGCCCCTACTGGGACTTGAACTCCAGCCTCTCTGCCGTCCAGCCCATAGTCAGTTGCTATACCAACTATGCCACCCCAGCTCATGTTGAAAATTCTGCTGAGCACATATGAAGTTTGACCAGTGTGTCTATCTGTATGTATGAAAAAACTCAAGACTCTGGAGGCATTGTCTTTAAATTTGATATTTGAGAATTTTACAAATAATTGCTAAGCCATTCCTTCTGCTGAGTATGGCTGTTAAGTGTGCTTTTACAATAGCCATGTTCATTATAGTGTTTAGTGTATGGTGCAGTACTAATTAATAGTATTTTCTTTTTACACAGGGTTTACAGCGATATTTTGAGAATGTCATGCAAGGAATTCTCCGACATGTGAACTTCGATATAGTGAAATGTGTCCTTATTGCCAGTCCTGGCTTTGTACGTGACCAGTTCTATGAGTACATGTTTCAGCAGGCTGTAAAGTTGGACAACAAAGTATTGCTAGAGAATAAGAGCAAATTCATGCTGATCCATTCCTCCAGTGGATTCAAACATTCACTCAGAGGTAAAGTACAGAATTATAAATTGTTATGCGGTAGCATAATTGATTGAGGCACTATGCTACACGCCAGAAGATTGTGGGTTCAAGTCCTAATGAGGTGGATTTTTTCGATTTACCTAATCCTTCCAGTCGCAATATGGCCCTGGTGTCGACTCAGCCTCTAACAGAGATGAGTACCAGGAATATTCCTGGGGGGGCTAAAGGTCAGCCAGCATGTAAGGCTGACAGCCTCACTGCCATCTGTGAGCCAGTTGTCTGGAAAATGTTGGAACCTTGACGTCTCACAACCCTATGGGCCTCCACATCCTGTTATCGGGATAGCTTTACCTCTTTAATGTTAACATTAACTACTGAAATATGTATTAGGACATTTTTAGTGTAGCTTAATATTTTGTATAGTGGTTAGCATGATAAATGATACAAACTCCGTCCCAAGTGCAAACAATATATATTGTATGTCCTTGATCTTGTTCTCTTCTACACTACATGTTTCGGCCTCTATCGGCCATCATCAGGTGTATACTCTCAACGTTGCTGCCACACTGCACCCAGTCTAAAATTTAACATTTAAAAACCCATTGTTACTTTCTTCGTATTATCAACATCTACCTCGTTGATATGTGTCTGGTATCAACGAGGTAGATGTTGATAATACGAAGAAAATAACAATGTGTTTTTAAATGTTAAATTTTAGACTGGGTGCAGTGTGGCAGCAACGTTGAGAGTATACACCTGATGATGGCCGATAGAGGCCGAAACATGTAGAAGAGAACAAGATCAAGGACATATAATATATATTGTTTGCACTTGGGACGGAGTTTGTATCATTTATCGTGTAGAGTGCAACAGGATGCTGAGATATAATAGTGGTTAGCAGTCTTCCTTCATATTTTGTTTGTGCTTTGTTCAGACACATGAAAGGAGACTAGCTACTTTGAGTAAGGTTTCTTCTATTTCCTCCATCCTTCCAAGTTAAATGCCAAAATGGTATAAAATGAGCTATGGCTTCTTCCTTTTGCAGACTTTCCAGGTCACTATTGCTCTCATCCTGTAATTTTTTTTTGGTGCTATTTGGTGTGATTCTGCAATACTGAAAGACATTGTTTATTTTAATCACTACGCAGTTTAGTTAACATCTGAACTCATTGCATTCATTGATAGATCCCCCCTTCCCCAAAAAGAAAGATCATCTTGATATGCATTTGCATCAGTGTGGTTCTTAGCAGTTTTCATAATTAACTGTTTCACTTTGTGGAATATTTGTCTTGGTATTGCAGAAGTTCTGACAGATCCCTCAGTGGTAGCAAAAATGGCAGACACCAAAGCAGCCAGTGAAGTTCGGGCTTTAGAGTCGTTCTACACCATGTTGCAGACCGAGCCTGCCAAAGCATTTTATGGAACGAAACACGTCGAATGCGCTAATGAAGCTCAGGCAATTGAAACACTACTCATATCAGATAATCTCTTCCGGTAAGTCCTTGCACACCAGAAGGATCTTAGTTACAACAAAATGAGGTATCTTGAGATTAATTCATTCAGCGATTCCATCAGTAATAGACTCATTCCATTGTTACTGGGCATTCATAGAGTATTAATAGGTCTCCGCTAGTAGGGAAGAGCAATTTATCAATGTGACTGAGTTTTAATATTAAGTCATTAGCTGCAACCTGTCAAAAAGTTTTGTGTTGTGCTCTTTGAAATTCTCATTCCTTTAGCATTACTCAGTATACCTTTTACAAGTTCAGTCACTTTGAAATTAATGTCAAACTTTTTTTGTCCTGACTGAGAAATGATGTGTATGATATAATTACAGTATCCCCAATAGTAAAACTGTGGTAGAATTAGATCTGATATGCAGCAACCCAGAAAGCAGTATGTTGTTTTCAGAATTCAAGATGTGAAGCTTCGGAAACGGTATGTGGCCCTGGTAGATAGTGTTCGTGAGTGTGGCGGAGATGTAAGGATATTCTCAAGTATGCATGTCTCTGGAGAACGTAAGTTAACTTTGCATCATGATCCATACTTTCTGATACCATGACATAAACATTTCAGATGGTAACATAACTCCAAGTTTCTATAACTGGTATGAATATGCTATTTCAGAGCTTGATCAGTTGACAGGAGTGGCGGCAATTTTACGCTTCCCAATGCCTGAATTAGAAGATGAAGAGGACAGTGACCATGTAAACTGAAACTCCAAAGTGTACTTCATATGTATGAAGATATATTTATTTTGTGTGAACACATATGCAAAGATATATTTTGTTTAAATGATTTTACTATGTTTAATTTATGATTTGGCCAACAGGTTTCTGTGTACATTGTTTCAGCTAAATTATTGTGCAGTGACACATTTGTAATTTATAACGATTTCCTTGTTCTGTTCCATCTTTGTTTCCCTGTCTTTCATTTGTGGTTGTTGACTGTACGAAGTGATCATCTTTGATGCCATGGATGGAAAACTTTAACTGTTAGTACTCATAAAATTATAAAATTTGAAAACCCACAACGTTCAGCATTCTATTTTACTAACACTACTTGCTGACCAACTAATGTTTTTGAAGAAACTACAGTGAAAACAAATTTGCAATCCAGTCCTGACCATGAAACATGTACAGATATGAAATGTGGGCAGCTTGTTAGATTCCTATAAAAAAACTAGTGTATTCTTCCCTTTCCGCTGATTAGCTTCTGAATGTATTGGCGAGTTTTCATGATAGTACATTTGGAATGTGTGCAGTGACACCAAGAGATTTTGTCTTTAAATTTAAGTTACTGACTATGCATTCATGCTGTACTTGAAGAATGATATATTCGGAGTTATGTCTTCAGGGATATAGTGGCATTCAGTCAGGTAAAGTTAACCACTATTTCAGAGGAACATATTGCCTCCATCTTCAGGGTTGAAGAGTAAGCCAAGCAAGAAACCAACATAAAGAAGTGCTTTGCTTGCTGCCTGCTTGGTTGGCTTTCTCATCAGCCCTGATGATGAAGGCAATATATTTCTCTAAAATGTCAGTTGACTTCCACAAGACTATGACATTATAATCCAGAAGGCAGAACCCTTCATAAAGTCACTGTAGTGAGAACATCAAACCCAACAATGATATATGTACTTCCTCAGCAGTGAAGTTTCATTTCATTTGTCTGATTCGCAAATTAATGTGGCCAAGAAAACTCAACAATTTTTGTAATGTTCACACAGGAAGATGGTAATTTTGTATCGAGAAATCCAAACAAAATACACTCAGTGTATTTTACGACAGTAATTCCTTGTACTGGCTGTTTGTATTTTACTGTGGAGGAACATGCCAGCTTGCGTGGCATTTATGGTGACTTATCACCATTCTACAGCCCACGAGCTGTTTTGAGCCTAACTATTAGCACAATATCATAACTTCAATCTCCAATCTGGACTTCACCTCTAACCTGGCACTTGCCTGAACTGTGAATAAGGAAACTTTGTTACTGACTGATTACTGATGATTCTATAGAACAGTCTGTCCTCTGCAGTTACTGTCTTAATTTCCTACTACAAAAGCTAAAGATACACCACAGAAACCACAAAAGCCCACCACTTCATCATTGTTCATTGACGCACTTAGTAATGGAGATGATGCTGGAAGAGAAAGATGTGGAAGCAATCATACTGTTTTATGGTTGATTAGTGTGGGCTGACATATAATACACAGTACCTTAAATTTTCGGTATAAATGCTTTTGAGATCTCGTAAAGTGCATTCATGCAATAAAACAACTCCATGATTTTAGTCTGCAAGCAAATTATACTGACCAAGCAACTGCTGCTTGTCAGCGAAGTTAATGCCAACTTTAGCAGATGCTAAACGTGGTCAACAATGAATCCCCATGGCTGTTAATTTCAGTTTTCTATACCGGAGCCACTACTTCTTGAAATAGCTCCTTAATTACCCTCACAAGGCTGAGTGTACCCCGTTCCAGGCCCACTACTTCTCACAAAATCTGGTAGCGCTGCGAATCGAACCCAAGAACTCTGACTGCTAGACCACAGTCTGTCATGCAACAAGAGCAGAAAAGCTGTTTAGATCTTATGTTACAGTGACAGTTTTATTTACAGTGCAATACAGTTTTCTGTTCAGGAAGGCAGATTATACAAGGGCTCATCAGAAAGTAACCTCCAGTGAGCTGTTAACAAAACAAGCAATGAGAAAAGTATAATATACAAAAAAAAAATACATACATACAAAATCAACTCCTCATTATTGCTGAAGTCACAACCAGTCCTCCAGGTAGGTAAACAGGTGGTAGTTGTTTGGATCGAGATCTGGGCTATAAGGAGGTTGGTCAAACAACTCCCCATTGAAATGCTACAGCAGTGCTCAAGTGCCCATGTTAGGTGGGTTCCTGTCACCACGGCATGGTGCATCCTCAGGTAGCAGATGGAGGAGACGCCCTCCAGTTTGGAGGGAAGCTGTGAATATATTCAATAAGCAGTCACGGACAGCCAACAAGGGGTGGCGCACCAGCTTGGGGTTGTGCGTGGGCCTAACAACTTCTCAGGTTCGCCAGGGCAGTGGCACAAGAAATCTTAAAATATAAGTTAGATTTAGCGGGAGTACAGGAGGTCAGATGGGATGGAGGTGGCATCGCACCAGCAGGAGACTTTACATTTTTCTATGGAAAGGGGAATGAAAATCACGAATTAGGTACAGGTTTTATCGTACATAAGAGAATCGTATCAGCAGTTAAGAGGGTAGAATTCATTAGTGATAGGATATCATATACAATACTAAAAGGTCGCTGGTGTGATATCATTGTTATGAATGTTCACGCCCCAACAGAAGATAAAATTGATGACATGAAAGGATATATTCTATGAAGAACTAGAACATGTATTTGATAAATTCCCAAAGTACCCTATGAAAGTTTTGTTAGGAAATTTCAATGCCAAAGTAGGTAGGGAAGACATTTTCAAACCAACAATTGGGAATGAGAGTTTGCATGATATTAGTAATGATAATGGAGTTAAAGTAGTAAACTTTGCCACATCAAAAAATCTTACTGTCAAAAAAAGTACAATGTTCCCACATCGTAACATCCATAAATTTACTTGGACATCTCCTGATGGGAAGATACACAATCAAATAGACCATATTTTGATAGACAGGAGACGGCACTCAAGTATACTTGATGTCCCATCATTCAGGGCAGCAGATTGTGATATTGACCACTATCTGGTGGAGGCAAAGGTTAGGGAAAGACTGGCAGGGATATCACTGCTATCAACTTCATATAAAATTTTGTCCAATATTATTCTTTCAAGGTTAAGTCCATATATAGATGAAATTATTGGGGATCATCAGTGTGGGTTTCGACATAACAGATCCACTACAGATCAGATCTTTTGTATTCGTCAGATATTGGAGAAAAAATGGGAGTACGGTGAGACAGTACATCAGCTATTCATAGACTTCAAGAAAGCCTATGATTCAGTTAGGAGGGAAGTATTGTACAATATTCTGATAGAGTTTGGGATACCCTTGAAACTAGTTAGGTTGATTAAAATGTGTTTAAACGAAACGTATAGTAAANAAGTTCTAATATTTGGGAACAACGATAACAGATTGAAACCTGATTCAGGAGGAAATTAAGAGGCGATCGAACTCGGGTAATGCTTGCTACCATTCAGTCCACAACCTGTTGTCTTCTCGTCTGCTGTCCAAAAACATAAAAATTAGAATATACAAAACTATAATTTTGCCTGTGGTTCTGTATGGGTGTGAAACTTGGTCTCTGACATTAAGGGAGGAATATAGACTGAGGGTGTTTGAGAACAGGGTGTTGAGGAGAATATTTGGACCGAAGAGAGATGAAGTGACAGGAGGTTGGAGAAAACTGCATAATGAGGAGCTTCATAACTTGTACTCTTCTCCAAGTATAATTAGAATGATCAAGTCAAGGAGGATGAGGTGGGCAGGGCATGTAGCACGAATGGGGGAGACGAGGAATGCATATAGGATATTGGTGGGAAAGCCAGAAGGAAAGAGACCACAGGGAAGACCAAGGCGTAGGTGTGTGGACAATATTAGAATGGATCTTAGAGAGATATGATGGTATGGATTGGATAGATCTGGCTCAGGATAGGGACCAGTGGAGGGCTCTTGTGAACACGGTGATGAACCTTCAGGTTCCATAAAATGCTGGGAAATTCTTGAGTAGCTGCAGAATTGGCAGCTCCTCCAGAAGGGCTCAGCTCTATGAGTAAGTAAGTAAGTGCTCGAGTCCAAGCAGCTGTACGCAGAATTGCAGTCATGGAGGAGCACTAAACCGGATGTCAGCATTCCACATCTTGTTCTGAATGGCCCTATGCAGTTTTCGTAATGTTTTGCAATACAAAATGTTGCTAAGCTCACAGGTGGCAGACTTCTTGGACACAAGCAAACAAAAGCATACTCCCCAATATGACAAGTTCTTCAATTCTGTGGTGACAAAAAAAAAACTCTGTGGCCTGTAGTCTGCAAGCGAACTATACCGATCAAGCAACCACCAATTGTCAGGGAATAGCTCAAGTATGTACATATTTTTTGTACATAAGACTTCTTTTTCCTCACTGTTTTGTTAAGAGCGCACCAGAGGTTACTTCCTGAACAGCCCTCATAAATATGATCAATATCAGTAATTACATAATTATAATTACATGCCATTAAAAGCACAGAATAACAGTGTAAAAACTCTCTACAGCAGTACCTTACATGAAAATTTTGTTATGGCAGTAATAAACAAGTGGCAAAGTGCAAACATGTTTCATACACACTCAGTTTCTGCACATTATTTTGACCTTTCTATTCATGTATTGCAGATACAAATGCAAAGCAAACCGCTATGCCGTCAGAAATTATTTTTTTAAATGGCCATCATAAAATTGTTTCAAATAAATGTTTTATGTTGTAATGACGTTATCATATATTACTTTCTTGTACAATGAACCACTCTTGAGAAAATCAGTAATTTCATTTCAAATTTCTCCTTCAGGTAAAGTGAAAGTTGCCCTGAACCAGACCGAATGAAAATAAAATATGCAGGGCAACTCCTCATGTAGTCCCACCAATAACATATTTAACCAAATCTGGAGTTCGTCGATGATGAAAAACAGGTGTGATCTCTCTTATTAAACATTAATTTTACACAAAACACAATATGAAATTATATATTATTCTGAAAATCTTTTATCTGATAATGTAACTGTTATTCTTATACAAATGAATACTTCAAAAACAAAACTGTGTGGTCTTGGCAATAATGTGCCAGGTTCACTGAATGTGCCTCATCATATGACATGATTTTTGAGGAGGGGTATAACAGTACATCATACCCAAAATTTTGGAAATATGAGAAATTAAGTACAACATCCCCATGGTGGAGAGATGGTTCCACTTTTTATTTATTTACTGCTTCATGTATCAGCTGCCGCCTTCATCCTCTTTTCTTTTTTCTCAGCCTTATGTTTGGCCTTTTCTTGTTCATCATGAAGGCGACGTTTCTTCTGAAGCAGCCAGGCCTCTTTCCCTCGTTCTGCCCTACCTTTCATCATGCTTCGATATAGGTTACGATGTTTCTTCTTTATCATTTTCTCTCTTAACTTGTACTCCTGCCTTTCTTGTCGCTTTTTCTCAGCTGGGTCTTCCCGAGCAACAACTCCCATACTCACAGACATGCGTTTCTTCTGCAAGAAACAATAAATTTACATTATAAATGTTTATATTTATTTGCCTGTCTGAAATATAAGACTGTTATGTTTTAAAATTATTTTGAAGACTAAGATGACTTTCAATTTAAGTCAACTGTCCTACTTATTCATGACTGTCAACACATCAAAAGGACCAAACAGTAACTTAAAAACCATTCATCTTACATTGTCTTATGTCTTTAACCAACAGTTTAAGTTTTACACAAACGACTTTCATTAGAGCCAGAATGTTGGTAGTGGCATTTTTCTGATCGTGGGTGTAATGGTTTGTCTATTATGACTTAGTTTTGTGGAATCATGTAATGTCAGTTCCTAGACTAGACAGCTATCCAAGCCATGATGCAGCACATGAATGTGGGGATGATATTATGATAGGAAAGACTTCATACTGCGTACCCCACTCTTTACAACCTTCCACACCCCAAGACTATGTCAAAAGCGCATTTTACAAGGACTTTACTTATAGAATACATATATTATACAATTTAGCTGATGCAATTGTTTTGGATATGAAGTGTACTGTCCGCCGTCTGAAGTATATTCGATATATGTAACATTGAAAATTGGCTCTACTTTCTGATCAGATGACTGTTGTTACATGCATAAAAATTCATATGAAGAAAGCCCTCAACGTGAGAAAATGAACCCAACTAACCAGGAAACCACATAAAGTGTAGTGGTGGTAACACATAACCACAAATTCAGGAAGAACACTAACAGCACAAACAAAACTATATGGCAAATTACCAAGACCGAACCAAAATGAGATTCATGTATTTCCCTGCAAATGCAGAAGGAAATACGTATGTGAGACAAGACGTCCACTCCAAACCTGAATCAGTCAACACAAATGTTACACAAAAATAGAGAGAAATGTCAGTTCAAAGTATCAGAACACTCCCAGAATGAGGACACAGAAGAGGTCATGAGAAAAATGAAGGAGGTAATATTGGGGGGGGGGGGAAGAGGCCACTAGCCAATCAAGTGTAGACATTAAGTTCCATATGGCAACATATAGTATTCCGCCTACACAACACACCCATAGTGACATGTTCTAACCCTTAAGTTATCATCAGACTGTGTTATATGTATTATCCGCAAAACTGTTAGTACTGTCAGATACTGTCTGCAAGGAAAATTTTAAAACTTAAAATCGCTATTTTAAAATTTTAAATTTACATTTCATTACACGTGTAAGTCAACATCTGACAAATGATAATTGTAATCTAGCCTCATGATGGCTGTCTTGTCTTCTAAATCAAGCTATTAAAATATATGAAATTTAAATACATAAGTGTAATGATGCCCAAGAGAAGAACAATGAATGGAGAATAGAGCACCTGCAATGGTCTTAAAGCCCACATTCTATACCAACCTTCTGTTCTCTGACTTTGTCTTTTTCATGAATTTCACTTTCATTTCCATCTTCTCGCTCCTCTTCATTCCTCAACATTTCTCCTTCATTCTCACTTTCATTTTTCTTTTCAACCTCATCAGTCTCTGATTCCTCCTCTGTTTCTTCTTTTTCTGAAACAATAAACGTCTCTCAAGTGATCAGTTACTAGCAAGATACTATCCAATAGTGATCTATGAACTTTCACTCTATAATGATAATTATATTATAATGCATTTTTGAAGATGACAGGTTCCAACATCAAGTATGTAAGAATTTTCTGACTTGTCTTCAATACAGAAGCATCATACATAACCATGCAGTAGATAGCTGATCACTTAGTCTGCAAACACAAGCACGTGCTGCCATGTGATATAACAAGTCCATTCTATGGTAGTTTCAATATAATATTAATTTTCATAACCTGTAACATAAGCCTTCTACAGGATGGGGCACAGAAACTTCCTTTTTTGAAGGCGAATAAAAGAAGAATTATTGCTGATAGACAAAATTTATGTTTAGCTAATGAAAGAACACACTTTAAAGTTTTAAATCATGTGGTTTTAAACAAAATATCTTGAAGGTGGTGGCCACCGTTCTCTATGCACTGATGCAACCGTTTTCTGAAGTTCCCTTCTGCACGTTCCAACATGTGCACCAGAATTTGGGCTACTTCTTGCCAAATAACATTCTTCAGCTGAAGCAGGTTTGTGGGGCGATGTTTAAAAACCTCTGCCTTGAGGTATCCCCATAAAAAAATCACAGGGCGTTAGATCAGGTGAGTGCGCTGCCCACGGGATGTCACCTTGAAGCAAGATGAGCCATCCGGGGAACTTTGACCTCAAAACTGTCATTGAAGCTCGGGCTGTGTGGGCCGTGGCACCATCCTTTTGGAACCAGACATTTCCTAGATGCATTTCTTCAAGAGCTGGTTCAAAAAAGTTATTAATCATGTCCACATAACGCTGTGAATTGAGAGTAACTGCATGATTGTCTTCTTCAAAAAAATAAGGACCAATAACTCCAACTCTTGACAATGCACACCATACTGTCACCTTATCACTGTGAAGTGGCCTCTCATGGAGCTCTCTGGGATTGTTACTCCAATAGCGCATATTCTGGTTGCTGACATATCCGGATAAGTGAAAATGTGCCTCATCACTAAAGAAAACAAATGTATCAGGGGGTAAATTTTCCAATAATGTTTCGCATGCCATTATTCAGTTCTGGAAATCATGTGGTGACAATTCTTGCACAACAACCATCTTATAGATATGGAAATGAAGATGCTTGTGAAGAATTCGGCACATTGAACGATTGGATATGTCTAGGGCGACTGCATGTTTGCGAGCGGAGCATCTTGGAGATCTCAAAATCGACTGTCGAACTGCCTCCACATTTTTTGGCGTCGTAACGGTCCGTTGTTGTCCTGATGATATTTTACCACACTCCCAGTTGTCATAAAGTTCTCTACCCAGAAAACAATCGATTTCCAGTCGGAAACCGGACCTCTGGGCTCAATTCCAAAGTGAGTACGGAACACAAGCTGCACCTCCATGTAGGAATGGTTGTTCGAAAAATAGGCTTAGACAGCAAACGCACACTGCTCACTCGTCCACCTTGTGTTTCCTACTGAGGGGTATTACACAGAAACTTCCGCGAGTGCTGCGTTCGCCGAGCCTATCCCCACTTTTCTGCGACCTACCCTCCGTTCACAAAAAGGAAGTTTCTGCGCCCCACCCTGTATTTTCAGTAATATGAATACAGACTCAGCATTACATTGTGCAGTGACAAAATGTAACATATATCTATAGGTAATTATTTTACTTATATGCTATGAAACATCTGGAAATCAAGGGTGGTGAGAATAATGAATATACTGAATATACAGAAGTGCTATCCATTACAATTCAACGTTTGCTGTTCATACAATGAAACCTGCCTTTAGAAACATGTCAGGTGCTACCCGATTGCAAATTGTCTTTTCTTTCATGACAGATACACCTGACTATATATGGACATTCAATAGGACTAACTCTCTTAGAAAAAAGTAGATACTAACCTGGGTTCATTTCTGCTAATGAAGGATCCTCAAGTGCTCTTTCCTCTGGTGGAACATACTGTTCTCTTGTTTTATCTATAAATGGTGAAAGATGTGGTGGCAGGACTGCTCCAAGAAAATACTTCTCAACAGGCTGGAGTTCACGTGCATTTACAGAATCAAATATCCACTGTGGCTGAACATAATATCTGCAATGTACAGAAATATCATATTAAACTACTATGATGTATGTAAATGGAGTGATCTGTTGACAGTATATTGTTACCTAATTCAATTTTGGGTAAATCCCGCCTCTTTCAGAAATATGACAGTTCCAAATTTTCTACAGCAAATGCATTTTGTTAACAACACAGCACGACCCAAACAACAGGATGACAATAAGGAGTCCTATTCATCAAACGATGGTACCACAATATGGCAGACACTCAACTTCCTTTAAAGAGAGGCAGTATAAAGGATATGAACCAAATTGGTTCTAAATTTTAACAAAGTCTTTTTAAACCATACTTGTAAACAAACTAATTATAATAATGTAATGTGTTTTGCTACTGATGACGCCGCTCAGATTGTTAATTGGTTTATTTAACAACCTACAAGTCTTGGCTACAATTAATTATAACACTGTTACAGGTTTACACAATTTACAACCCTACACAATAATCTCTTCATTCTGTCCTCGGTAGTCTTCACGTATTTATAACATGGGAGCTATACCAGTGTCACTGTATTACAAACTCCCAATAACTTCTCACACTATTGGTATTCTTCACGTTCACGATTCGCTCGCTACAACTGAACTCTGCGACTGTAACAATTCAACTGTGTCACTCCTGATCACACTGTCTCACATACTGCTCGGCCGGCTTTTTATACCGTTCACTGTTGCTTGTTGCCTGTGTCAACAGCGGTGTCACGTATTATGTCACAGTAGGCAGCGCTGCCACATCACACTAATTTCTAAATATTTGAATATATTCATGCACATCACTGTAGTTATTAAAGGATTAGATTTTATATTCATGGCATTGTGACGATACTGTATGTATGTATTAATATTGACCAATCACATTGTAATAGTAGTTTCTGCCGGTACTGATATAGCCTTCTGAAGTTGGTCTCTCAGACCAAAACATGTCAAGGATGAAAGATTAAAAAATAACAATCACACTGGACAGAGTTGATAACCTTTCAGCTGGTTAGTGATAATGTGACGGGCAAGGATGAACCAAATCAAATGTTCCATCTGATCAAAAATTTCCTGTACATTTGCATGTGTCTGAGCTAAGATATAGGTCTCGGCATGGCAGATATTCAGTCAGTATCAAGAATGGATGGCACAGTTTGGCATCATCAAGAATGGACTAATGACCTTGCCAGAAATGCTCATACCATTTAAATACTCTAGACTGCAACAGAGTATTCTCACTGAATACTGCAGCCGTCAATGAATTTCAGCACTGTAAATTCCCTAAGAGACAAGAAACTTCTTGAACCAACAGTGTACCTGCTATAAATCCATATTCCCTACTGCTGCCTTCATTAAAGAGAGTACATGAATGAAACCTATTTTTGCTACCTGATGTCAGATCCATGCAGCAAAGAGTGTGTCATGAATCATTTCATTCCACATTCTTCAGGTATTTAACCTTAGCAAGTAAAATTAGAAGAATGAATGTGATATCAGGTAATGTTTATTGTACACACAATTAAAAAAATGTTCTTAACATCTGAATGATCCTCAAGGTTAAGCTCTACCACATCTTTTCAATTTTCAAAATGTCAGCAATGCAAAGATTTCTAGATCTTGCTCCACTATGCCTTTAAATAATTCTGTGTAATAAAGATATATCACAGCAATCATTTCCCTAAAAATATTTTACACTCTTAATTAAACCTAGCCACCTTATCCTCTAAGAGACTGATTTCATCCAGAATTATGAACACTTAATACACGATGTCAACTAATCTCTTTACCTGGAAATGTATTGTTTTCCTAAGCTTGGTCTGTCCACAATTTGATGTGTTATACTCTCATCAGATTCATCAAAAGTGGCTCCAACAAATAGCAGTTTATCCCATGATACTTCACCACCGAAACACCGGATTGTAAAAACAACTGGTTCACGAGGTACTTCTCGATTTAGGAAAAACTTCAATCCTTTAAAGAGGGTCTTGTGTTTCTTTACTTTTTCTGCTTCCTGTTTAATTTCTTCCAGTTTAGTTGGATCTTCAATCTAACAAAAGAAACAATTACACTAGAATGTTCATTCTACATAGCATGCTTGCTTGTACAGAATTAATGTCAACTGAAAAATTCATAATCATAGTAATTTTTGCATTCTTGTACTAAAAATGATTTCTGAGAAGTTACAGAACCAGTTCATGCAATAATACAGTGCAATGGCGTACAGTGAAATAGTGAGCAACAATCTGACATTAGGATCTTAAGTGGCTACTGACAATCATACAATGACTTCCAAAACACAATAAACTAAACCTATAGTCAGTCAATCATAATGCTTGGTTCCTAACAGGAAATGTGTCTGATGACAGCTCTGTCAACTGGTCCCAACTGAGCAGGCTTCTTATCTGGACACAGATACAGGGTTCAGTCTCTAAAACGTTGCTTTAAATAAAAATAGGATGACAGATAATGTCCACAATGTCCATCATGCATCATCAATATAATGTAGCATGTTTGGCTACTGAAGCTGCTGTTATCATCATGAACTTCTGAATCTTGTGTATGGTACTTACTTGCAATTAAGAAGATGCCACTACATCATCTTGTTTTCAGTAACATTTAACCACAATAACCAGTGCATGCAGCACCATTAGCACATGAACATCTGATCTTTCAAGTTCAAAATCTCAGTCTGTAAATACTAACTCCAAGAACCAGAGCCCTTCTTATGATGCAAATATTTGATCAACTGCTCAAGACTGCACACTTTATGAAACATGAAGGTTCATTATCATGCTCACAACAGCCTTCCAATGGTTCCCATTCTGAGCTAGATGAATTAAGTCCACACATTGGCATACTCTGTTTCATTCAGACTCATTTCAATATTCCCTCCCTGCTATGCCTAGGTCTCTTAAATGGTTCCTTGCTTTCAAGTTTTCGAACTGTAATTCTGCATACATTTCACATCTGTCCTATGTACACTACACGAGTCCATCTCATCCTTTGTGAATTTGATCATTCTATTAATATTTATTGAATGGTACAAATTACACAATTTTCTTCATCCTCCTGTTGCTTTCTTGTCTTAGGTCTGAAAATTCTCGTCACTCAACTGTTTCAAATACCCTCAATCTACGTTCCTCCCTCAGGTTAGAGATGTCATACACAACTAAAATAAGTTGAGTATATTTGAATGTTTATGCTTCATATATAGGAGACAGGAAGACAAATGATTCTGAATTGAAAGGAAGCAGCATTCTCCAAATTCAACATGTTCTTAACTCTTTGTGAACAAAATGTTGCATGCTTTTGCCATGTCTCAAGCCAATTAGGTCAGCTCAGTGTACTCGCATTAAAATTTCCACAGACTAAGAGATGCACTCAACGTTACTCAACACAGCAGTTCTGTCAACAGATGGCATCAAGAGTGATATAATGTCCAGAATTACTGGGTTTTTGGACTTTGTCCATCATCTGGTATTCTAAAAAACACTAAAGAACACGTTTTGGAAACTGGATATGTTTATTTGTCCTCAGGTGAGGAGGGGAGACCTACTCTGTTGGGCCCCATTAGAAGGAGCTAACCTGTCACTGGAGGTCCAAAGGTCCAGTTATTGGTCCAGTGATTGAGGTTAGCTCTTTCTAACAGACCCAACACAGTACGTGCCCTAACCTCCACCTGAGGACAGAAACATATCCACTTTCCAAAGTGCTTTTTAGAAAACCGGATGACGAAGTCCAAAAACCCATTAATTCCAGGTGTTATGCATCATCATGAGTATGCTTTAGAATCTACTCAATATATTGTGGTTTAGAGAAAGGAAAAGGCCTTCACACTGTATAAACCTGTGATCCTTTGAAGGTAATCTATGAAACTATTGTGGGTTTCTCTGTGCAACTGCAATGAAGTTTCTTAGCAAGTAGTTCTAAGGCAGGTCTTGGCAGTCAAAAGGTTAAAACACCCAAGTAAAGCTGTAATCTACAATTCATTTGTACCTTGAACATGTTTCCTAAATTGTCCATACTTTTACCACATCATAATTCTTGTCAGTCTACTTTACCTCACTGTATGTCTGTCTTTCCTAAAGTTCCTTCTATCACCTCTCCTACCATTCCTTAGAAAACTGTAAAATTGAATTATCATTTAACTCAGTTACAACATATCCAGTAACAGAGGTTGTAGCAGTTCACTGCATTCATTCATTTAAATTGTTAATTTCACAATTAATATAGTCTTGAGATTTGAGGGTCTCATGGCAATTAATAGTGGGATATGATGACATATATTCTGGATAACAAATACTAAAGTTTCAAAGGAACACACTGACTCCATCTTCATGGTAGGACAAATAAGAGATGGAAGCGGTACGTTCCTCTGAAACATTGGTACCCATCATTCTAGATGACCATGATCTTGGTATAGCTTTGTTTATCAAAGCTGATCAGCTAAAAATGCCCATTAAGCATAAAAAGTCCATATCTGCAACTGTATTGAATTCTAAAATACAATATCCTAAGATTCATATTTACTGCTTCATCCTGTAGTATATAATTTGATGTTTTGTTGCATAAATAACAGCAGGCTAGAAGCATTTGCTACCCAATACCATGGGAATTTCAAATTGCATTACATAACCGCAGTATCACTGTCCACTAAAATACACACATAAAGAAAATACAGAACAAAAAATATCCTTTACTTGAAACACGTGGGGCTCAAACCATTTCAGAATAAAAGTGCATAAAAATGATATAAACTTTCATGTAATGTTTAAGGAAATAAAAAGTAAAACTGCAAACAATGCCAGTAAGAGTAAAATGTGTTTCACCATTGGAAATTGGTCTATTTCTACTTCTTCTTCTGCAGTAGTATCTCTGCCAGTGCAGAAAAGTGGAACATTAAGTGCTGCAACACGTTCTGATACAAAAGCTTCTTCATCAACCAAAGTCTTCTCTGTGGCATCAGCTGAAATAAAAAGTATAATCATAATTTATAACACTACAAATTTAAGCTTTATTTCTTATTATCAACATCTGAAAAACATAATTTGCAGTTTCTTTAAGCAAATATTCTTCCTGCAACCTATCCATCTCCAATAGTACTGATGGATTTTAATCAATCTCTCTATCAAATTGGACATTTGCACAATGGAGTCACCAGTCAAATAGTATCAAATATTAAATAACAACATACAACACAACAACGGACCTCCGAACACCACATCAACCATTGTGTATATAGTATGTCCGTACAAACGATTACAACTGCCAACTTACAAATACCACCATATATACAACTTTTAACTGAACTTTTTACTTTGTAATTGGTTATTTTAAGACTTCAACTTTTATTGGAATTCATATTTTATATTCACTCATATCATTTTATACTATTGTATACACTTGGAAGTCTAGTACTGTATTCTATATTTGACATGCAATTCAGTAACTAAAAGTTTAATGTATTTGCCTGATGATGGCTTTTTGAAGGCCGAAACATGTAGCAAAAGTATCTCCTAGAGCTATTTACACGTATTACTGATTGTTGTATTGTGACAGTTTTCAGTAAGAAATATAATACACAACAGGATGCATTCACTGAAAATTACCAATATAAAATTGGCGTACTTAATATCAACAAAAGCTTCACACACAGATGCATATGATCATTTTTCATACGTAATTCCACAATGAATAAGATCTAAAGTTTCTGTAGATGGTATATTAATACAATTTTTTACTTTTTGGACATTCTCTAAAAATTGAGACAATGGGTAATGTCCAAAAAGTCAATAATTGCAAATTCCATTATAGCTACAACTGTTCATGATTTACTAGAACCAAAATTGGGAAGTGAATCAATAAATGTACATATTACCTGAAGATACAGCAAATTTTGGTGGGTAGTGAAGATTCAACAAGTGGTAGAGTCGGAAATTGACAAACCCCAGCATAACACAATAAAACTGCACAAATGTTGACATGACTCGGAAATCTACTTCTAATGTAGACTGAGGCTATAAACAGAGAAAATAACCATAAATGAACATATCCAATTCCAACAATGTATGCAGACTGAAGTATTGTAGTTAGTGTTATTTCTTAATGTCTGTTTGGAGTTTACAGCAAACACAGAGTAAATATAGAGTATATGGGGGGGGGGGGAGCAAATATTTGAATATGAAATTCATCTTTAGTTGTTGTAAAGTACTCTGTGATCTACATTATACTATGACAATATATACGGTTAATAAATTTATTAAATTACTCATCATAACATGAATATTATCATTTATTCATTAAGGGACTGGTTGCATAAGATAAGACAATACTTCCAAGTTGATTATGAAAAATCACAAAGTACTACTTTAGCATTATACACACACACACAATGGGAAAGAACAATTAAATGAAGTTTCAAGAATAGAATAATGGCTTTATTAACACAGAAAATAGTAAAAAGTTCATCAAGAAACAAACTGTGCTACCTGAATATTGATATAATGTGCTAAAACTGATATTCAGGGTCAATGCATGAAAGGGCAAGAAGTCTATTGTGCTGAAGAAGGGGCCTCAACTGCAAACAGCCAATTCCAGCCAGTTACTACTAAATTCAAATAATTACCACAAAACAGAACTGGTGTGGCACAATCCATGTAACAGTCTGTCCTTTAATTTCAGCCTGGAAGTAGTAGCCTTTGATGGATACAAACACCTTTCTGAGAGTCTGTGATGCAATAACAGCATGTAGAAATTCAATAGTCAGACGTCGACAAAGTGCCGACTGATCACGAGGCACATGTTGCAAGGAAGGGAATGTTGAGAACATGAACAACAGTGTAAGACAATCATCCAAGTCACGCAAAGCATCAATAAAGGATGGATATCTTTCTTTCACTATGTGATCCAATGTTAAATGTGGACGATTTTCTAGGGTCCGCTTTATGGTCTCAAAGTCTCGCAATGCTCTTGCTTTTCCCATTTTCTTTGCAAAAATCTGAAACAGGATCATATTAAAGACATGAATAACGAAAGGATTACTCTGTTACAGAGAGTAAGTAAATCAAATCATAGATCATAATCACAGTAAAATTCCATAACACAATGGCAATGCATGGTCGTCCTCAACCCCTTGATAACTCTTCAGCTAGGTAGAAAATTCTCTGCTTTAGTATATACAACAGTTCAACAACAAAGTCTGCCACTGAACTCTACACTGAGCTTAATCCACCTTTATAAGCTATATGTCTATGACCTACTTTTGATATATCTTTACAACATGGTGAGCAGACTTGTTTGCAAGATATTTTAACATAATTTCATTATTTACTGACAGACACCAGTAGCTCTATAATAAAATTAAAACAAATATAGTTCTTTCTAATTTTCACATACTTTTAATACTAATTTGGACATCATATACATCAGTTTACCTTAATTTTGTTTAAGTTATGCACTGTCTTTAAATTATAAACTAATTCTATGACATATCCAATGACAGATGAAGTAATGTAGATGTGTGCTAATGGGTTCAAAACACATGGTATCATAATGCAAAATGTTTTCAATTTTATTATTATCCTCCCATCAACAAATAATTTTACCATGTGGTCTCCACACATGATGATTCACTGTCAAAATTCTCTTCCCCATATGGTACATCACCTGCCCATTTCATCCCTCTTGAGTTAATTATTCTAACAATATGAGATTGAAAGTAGAACCAGCAAAGCTCATGTACAGAATTTTCTCCTTTTCTTCACCTCTCTTAGGCCCAAGTATTTTGATCAACGCTAGTAAAATTATGCAGCTAAAGTACAGGACGTTAACTTTATACAAGGACCAGCAAAGAGAAATACTGTACAAAGCAAGTAGGATTCCTTATCCACTAACTTGTTCTGTTAATGGGCCACTGAAAACTGTAATGTTTCATATGAAATATACAACACAACTAATTCTGCCACTGCAGCACTGTCACTTCATTACAAGGCAAAGAAGAAGCAAATAGTAACAGATCTAGCATCGGATGCAGACTTTTGCAGCATGCATGAAGCTTCTTGTATCATTTGCTAGTAGACTGCATTCACTTGTCTGCGTGACACGTAAAGTAAAATTACCATGTCAAAACACCATGATTACTTTCTTCCAAGAAACATCAAGATCACTACAAAAATCACGCTGTTAAACCTACAGACATGAAATATACAGATTACATCAGCAAGCGACTACAAATAGTATTCTAAAGTAAACATAATCCAATTTACCATTGCAATCACTATCATGTACCTTATAGTCCCTAAGTTTCCATATTATGGGTTCATGTAATAAGAACTGAATATCCTTTAAGTGATATAATGTTTTAATCCCAGTAGCACCCTTTTGAGCTCTCTTCCTGTTACGTGGTTCCCGTGGATATATTCCTTTCAGTATACATAACTTCCGAAAATCCTTTAGTGATAGTTGCAACATTTTTAGGGCCGTCTTTCTCGACACATATCTGTTGCCTTCCCCGGACTCATACTGAAAATATTAAACATGTATGCAATAAAGCAGACTAAGAATCGCACTATTACTTGTAAAATCAGACAGCTGAATGAAACGTAACCAAATTAAAACATAATAAAATTAATCCAGTTTTAAAATTGCAACGTAACGAACATACCACATAAGGCATAATGATATCCTATATTATCCTACCTTCTTCTTCCTCTTAGAGACCATGATGGAAGTGATATAATCTCTACTGAAGGTGGTAAATTATTGTAATTAACGTGCCCACGTGCTATTCAACACATCACAATCCGCCATTTGCAATTACAAATACCAAAAAGAGCTGCGATGCAGGTAGCAAATCTGCCGGATTAAAATAAAAATTCTAAATTAGGAATAACACATTTTAAAATAAACATCACTCCAATTCTTAGGAAATATATACTTTAAAAGTAACGGTTTCATTATATTAAATATTGTTATTGTAAACTAATAATGAAAAAGAGGCCGAAATTAGACAAAAATTAAACATTGACGTTGGTTAACCTGAATTCCAATCTCTTTGCAGATGGCAGTAGTATCAACAAGTCAGGAGTGTTGACTTTGGCTGTTTCGCCATGAATGTATATTGGCGGTTTTTTTAAAATATCTTGGGGTCAAAATGTGGTAGGTTGCTATGGAATGTATGTTGTACATAAAAGCAATAATTTTGGAGGGGAAATCATGCGATCTTATTTCCATTATATATTTTTTCCACAGAGTGAACTGATAAGGTTTGTAAGAGATCACGACGTATTTTGGGGTGCCATTGAGTTATTGTGTAGAATTTTCGAATAAAAAAGTCAGTTTTACGTTTACTTTTCTCCAATTGATAAGTTGTACGGTTGAGAATCTGTCTGTTGGTACTAGAGTAGAAACAGCTATTGAGGATATGTTAAAAAATGTTAAGAAGAAATCTGGAACTAAATTATAGGAACTAGCAGGGGATTGTCCTAATTTATATAACGTGGAAATTGATTTGTAGCTTAACATATGGACAAACTGAGGAAATCGAAGGATATTCTGACTGGGGGAATTTGCCTAAAGACCTTTAAAACATCGGCTAGACACGTTATCAAGGTTTTAAGTCTCTCTTCGAAATTAGAAATACACAACAAGATGGCAATGTCCTAATTTAGGATATGACAAAATTTAGATGCACACACCAAGTGGAAGATCTTGTTAGCAATAATCTGAGCCTACTTTGTCACTGGTCAGACATAATGGACTATAGGCCAATCCATTTCATATGGCTTTCCACTGTGCTTCGAAGTTGATTTAACTATATTTGCTTAGGTATATCCGAATGAGTAATGATGCATAAGGATGAATTATGAATAACATAAAAAGGAAACAGTCACGGACCATTTTAAGAGAGGCTAATATTTCATTGTTTGCACATGAGAAACTTTGAAAAGCCACAAAATCCCAAGTTAGGAGAGCTGTCGAACGGTCGAGAATCGATGGCGGAACCTTCCGAATACCAAATATTAATAATAACCACTCAACCATGACCATGGTATACAAACATGGGCAATGCTGATAATTTACGATGAATAATTGTAACGAGTGAGGGTCACTTTTAATACTATACTTTGTGCTGGTAACTCCGATTATAGAGATCTGGGGTAGCGCAGTCGATATAGCCTACGAGCTGGACGACCGAGGGGTTGGAGTTCGAGTCCCGGTAGGGTCAGAATTTTCTCTTCTCCATATCGTCCAGACCGATTCTGCGGCCCACCCAGCCTCCTATCCAGTGGGTACCGGGGGTTCTTTCCCCTGAAATAAAGGGGCAGTGTCGTGAAGCTGACAAATCACCTCCAGCTAGTGCCGATGTCAATAAAATGTGGATCTATACATCCACTTCACCATACGCCTTCATGGCGTAGTGCCTAATTAGTTAAGTACAGAGACAGCTTTACCTTTTACCTTACTCCAAGTATAGACTAGATGGACACGTTTCTAAAACGAAACAAGATAGGTTTATAGAGCTGCCTGAACTCTTTCTACTAAGATGTCTGACGGTGTGATGCTTGCATTTCAATTTGATTTAATCGGAAGAAGTGCACCAAGTAATTAAGTAGGACTGAGCATATTTGCACCTGACCTTCATTGAAAAAAAACAATTATGTATTTAGAACGTTTGAGTGGTCATAGCAAATTGAACATATTGTCGCGTATAAGGGTTTAGAGTGACAAATAATTGTGGGTTCTATATTTGATGACTGGGTTCATTCGCATTTCTTTTATGATTACACTTGGTTATAAAAGCTCACACATTGAACTCCTTCTTGAAACGAATTTCTCACTGTTGTCTGAATCTCGGGCTGGTCTCTAGTCTCTCTAATTCTGGATCTGGATCTGATCTCAACTGAGTCTGTGTCTGAGTCTTATGATACGACCGACGGTCAGTCGGCCAGCCTATCATGGAATAAAGCCCTAATCTCAGGCTTACGACCAGATTTTGATCACCGTCAGACAGTTGCGAGTTTTTTAATGTGGGAGCTCTCTTTGACGAGAGTTCGAGTCTGTCGTTTACAATTCCTGCTGCGCCTCGCCAGCGCAGTCATTCTCAGGTTCGAGTCCTGCGGGACTCGTGACCATATTTTATTGTCTCAACGTCAAAACCAGAGTCAAAATTATGTTACGACCGACGGTCATTCGGAGAGTCTGTCTTTAAATAAAGTACCCATCTGGGTTTAAGGCCAGATCTTTATTGCTGTCAGACAGCTGCAGGCTTGTTGATGTGGGGCTCTCTCTCTGGCGAGAGGACGGGTCTGTCGTTTGCCAAAATCACAGTCAGCAGTAATAAGGCTGCTGTCAGTATGTGCAATTTACATTTTACATGTTATTAAAATACAGGGACTCTGTCAGTCCAGGTTCGGTACAGCAGATCATGCCCTATAATTAGTAGCTCCTGCTACAACAGCAGTCTACTCACTTTAACAGTCTTATGCTTGACTGTCGCAAAGTTTAAGTTTCTTTTACTTTTTTACTCTTTTTTTAAAGAAATATAAGAGATATAAGCAGAGTTCTTCGTTAAGCTCAAAATCTGAACTCGAACTGTTCTGTGCCGTTAATATTTGCAGAAAACTTGAAAAGGAAATGCATTTTAATTTCGGTATAACAATACATACCTAAAGTGATTGATGTAATATTGTCACGTGTTAGTTATTAGACACTGGGTTTTGGTTGGTAAGGGGATTTATTGAACCCTTACAAGTAACTACAAGTAATTAAAATACTATGGCTAATCTACACACTACAGTCCAATACGACACAAGCTAATTCCTCTCAGTTCGTCTTCACTAGCAGTTGCCATGTTGGGCTCAACTTCCGTGTTCAACTGCTCCTGTCCTCGCTGACTAGCGACTGTCTCACTCCCAACCGGTGGCTCCAGCTCCCTCACATTCTAGACTGAGACTGAAACTAACTTTTCAAAGTCAAAGTCAGATTTACGTTACTCCTTGTTATTTACCGCCAATGAGTTTTTCTTTGCACCAAGCCTCTCGAGGATCATGACCAGATATTTTATCGGCGGTTACCTAAAAATGGCAGTCTCTTTTGTCTCCACTATTCCGGTCTTTCATCTACCTTGTCACAATACGGTGAGGGATGCAGTTAATTTTCTTTCCGTAATTATATGAGAGCCTTCAAATCGCCGCGGTCTAATATGCACGATTTAAACAGTGACCCAGAAGCAGTTATTTGCAGTGTTCTAGAAATTCAGAATTGAGGTGGATGATAAGCATATCTAATCTACAAGTTCTAGTTGCTTGTGTCATAGACGTGGAATATAAAAGCAGAGATAATAACATGTTTAAATACTGTCGCTACAAGAAATATCCTCTGACTTGCACTTATATATACAAGTCAGAGGGAAAAACATGTTGCGTGCAGATACCTTTTGTTTCCCTTAAGGAATCTTTATTTCGGTAAGTAAACGCCCTTCAATTCAAGCGAGTGTCTATCTGTTCTGTATTCATTGAATTTGAGATGGCGCTTGATTTGACCTCTTACATTTACTGTGAAACTCAATTATAAAATTATAAAACAATATTTGTCCTGTATTTCAGACATGATTTACTAATAACTGGCTACAACATAAAATTCAGGGTAAAAAATATATCAGTAGAACAAGTTCGTTTGGTGTTTAGAACATCTTATACTCACTAGAAATGTCTACTGATCCGAAGCGAAATCGACTCTCCTCTGAATTTGCCCCTTTGCTATTTTTATTTCTGCACGAAAAAAAATATATACATGTATATTTATATTTAAAATGAATTAACACATGCCTGTGTTGTCGATCTTGGTCTGGTCTTTTTGAATATGGAGTTAAAATCGGAGATGTAGTCTTCAATTTTAAGAAACGTGAAATGATTTTGTGTTAAGCTTGGGCCTGTTTTTCACTTAAGGCAGCTCCTGTTACTGTGGCTTTGTAAGGAAAATTCCCGCTTGGATATAAAGTGATCGAATTCTTTCAATTTACTTGGATATTTTCTTGAGTTCGTTATTTAAGGATGAGGATCTTGAGATATATCTTTGGACCAGTGGAAGAAACTGGAATATGGAGGAAGAGGTATAACCGTGAGCTATACAAACTATTTAATGAACCAGACATTATTGGATTTATAAAGGTGAAAAGGCTTGAATGGGCTGGACACCTAATACGTGCCAGCGAGAATAGAACGATTAAGAAAATACTTAGTACCAAACCAGAAGGAAATAGGAGAGTGGGAAAACCAAGGTTAAGATGGGACGAATGTGTGTGGCAGGACATAAGAATTTTGGGTGTAAAGAACTGGAGGAATGTAGCATCGAATGGAGAAAAATGGCGAACAATCCTGAGGAAGGCCAGGGCTCACAAAGGGCTCTCGTGCCAGTGATGATAAGGATTTAAGGACGCTGTTGATGATAGGATGATCAAAAAATGCAAAGAAGTTCGTGGAATAGGAACGGGCATATTAAGCTTGTGAGTGAAGGAAATATCCTACCGAAAAGAGAATATATTGAATAAGCAGTCGCCTAAAATCTGAAATGGATGGTGCTCCAGTTCAGAGATCAAATGGGGTCAATCACCGTAAATACTTAACTAATTACGAAACGTTAAAGGGGAATGAGGCCGGTCACGGTAGCCGAGCGATCTAAGGCAAGTACGTCTTCACTCACTTGGAAACCGGGATCGTGGATTCGAATCCCAATCAGGGCATGGATGTTTAGTTTGTGTGTGTGTGCGGTTTTCTGTGTTTGTGTACAGGTAGATGCCTTGCGACGAGCTGATCACCCGCCCAAGGAGTCCTACCGAATGTGTAAGATCTAGAAAAACCGAAGTGAACGGAGAAGTTCATGGAGGTAGGCCTAGCCCCATTGGGGCTGTAGTGCCAAGGAAAAGAAAGGGGGAGAGGGAAATGAGAGAGGAGAAAATCCCAGACAAGATATTAGTCGGAAAATTCCACTTGGAAGGTGTAGACATTAACAGAACAACAACATTGCAATATATCAGAAGAGAAACAGCAGGAGAGGATATGGACCAGAATACAGTGGCGTGCTGTTGCGGATATGTTCTGTAAGAAGCCGGGAATTTCTTGACAAGTTTAGTGATTGTTAACTTCTCAAAATCTCTGCTGAATGTAATCAGTTACAGTGGCGTCATTAAATTACCCAAGAATCAGCAATTTCACCAGAATATTGAACGTATATTTATGCATAAATATCAAACCCATTTTACAGCAGGAATTACATTGTATATTCGTACTCTCAGAACCACATAATTTACCATAGGAATAAGATTTTCATTATGGAAGGTATAATTAACTGACGACAATACAGCTACGGAAAGCAATATGATACACTGAGAAACATGTTCATATGGAAGAAGCCTCAAGGTCGAACTTATATTATTTTTCCTTGTAGCGATATTACACGTTTTTCATTGGAATATTATATTTATTATAATTCGCTAATGTCAGAGAAATTTACCCTTGTACATTAATGATAGCTAGAAAAGAGGAACTAGTTCCAGAGAGAGGGGATAATTTGCATTTATGTCCATATTATCATATTATCACACAGGCGGAACTATGGGTGGTTACTCTACTGACCTCGTTTCCGTTTGCAACTAGTTACGTTTGTAAAGCTACTTTTAGGTTTCCAAGAATCTGTTACCTTTCCAGTTTCTGACGTTGTACACGTCACTGGTGTGTGGTCTAGTCAATCTCCAATATTCGTAACGTGAGTTTATACCGACTGTCTCGGTACTTAGTCCGTAAGTGGTCGATTGTGTTAGCCCTGGAGGACCAACAAGGGAAATGGAACATTTGACGAAATGAGAATTTGTAAAGGAAACAGAAGCACTTGGGGAAATGTCACTTTGTACAGCAGAAATCACACATATATTGAACTTGGACTGAACGGCGGTGAACACAGTCTCCATCCCCATTTCTATGCGAAGATTCTGAACCGAAAATGCGTAAGTAAACCCGTTAATATTTAACTTCTTTATTAAGACCGTCACAACACAACCAAATCAAGATCAGTGCCTAGTTTGGCTCTGCTACATGTTTCGGCTATTAATAGCCATCATCAGGCAAATACATGGCTAACAGATATACACCACTGAACTGCAGTATTAATAAAATTGGATACAATAATATTCATTATATTAAAATATTTGACGTAAAAATACAATAAATTAGTCTATATAAAACAAAAGTTATAATATAAAACAAGAATAAAATTCTTCGATTGATGCTTTACATCATCGAGTCAGTCGTTGGTTTTTCTCATGTTGTTTCGTTCCCGTGGACAAATTAGAGTATTCTATATTTTGTGTATAAAAACTGTTATTGGAGGCTCGTGATGTAGATGTAGTAATATTAATGTTAATTATTTAGTCGGTGCCTCATCTTACAAAGTATTGTCCGTTCTATAGGGAATGTAAACCTACCTTCGCTTTACACTTCTCTGATACTGCTTGCATCATGATCACCAGTACTTGAACAAGCCACTGTAATCTTCGTACTTACACACCCAATGCAGTAACGTTGGTGGGTGAAAGCAGAATCTCTTTCACATCACAAATATATTATGAATTAGAAACAATGTAAACATGTTGTTATTGCACAGAATAAAACACACATTCTGCTCTATAAAATCTATATTTCAGAGAACGTTATGTACCCGGGCTTGATTTAAGTTTAATGTCAACCTGTACACAGACTGTCTACACGAGGAGACATTAATAAAAGTATTGAAATATTTGGCAGATAGCTTCCCGTTCTGAACGCAGGTCGTCCTTCGTACGGGTCCATTGGTACCAAAATCCCGCCTGTGGTAAGAATGTTAAAATATGAACCGTACAAAAGGATATCGATTATAACACTGAATATTAGTTTGTCATGTTTGTCCATTGAATTCCTTTATGCCAACTACAGAAGGCTCCAGAGAGTAAGACGCTGTGTAGACAAGGTCTATCGTGGCTCCCATAAATTCAAAATTTGAACCACTCGCCAAATTGTCACCAAACTTCGAATGAACAACATGCTATTCAACGTCATCACAAAGCCATAATCTTCAGTCTGTATAATTACTAAAAGAAAACGATGCACGTACGAATTCATGAGGTGGGTGACAATTTTTCCAAGTAAGCTTGTGGACCACGCCACTTCTCATTCAACTGTGCACCTTAGCGTCTGCTGGGGCAAAAATTGTCGACATTGAACAATGTTAGACTAAGTTAGAATAGGTTAGGTTTGCGCATTCAATTATTCCTACCGGCAGCGTTGCATCACATAACATTGGATTGAGTTAGGTTTTTTTTTAATTCCCTTAGTGGGGGGGTGGGGGGTGGAGTCCAACTGGGTCCACTCGGCACGGCGGCCACTGATTGGCCTATTGTAGCCTGCCCCGCGTGATTATGATGATGCAGAATTTGGTGGAATGAAGACTGGAAAAGGAAACCGAAGTACTCGGAGAAAACTCGCCCCAGCGTCACTTTGTCCACCACAAATCCCACTTGACCAGACCCGGAATCGAACCCGGGCCGC